ATACGGAAATCCACACATGTTTTCAGCTATATCGGCCAATGCAACAATTTTACAATTTTCATATGGATATTTTTTTGATCACTTTAAAAACAATTTTTTATATGGAAATATTTAGCACTGGGTCTCAAACACAATCAAAGATGAATCTAAAAATAGTTTGACCAAAGACGCCATTAAACTCTGGCAAAACATTATAGCTATAGCAATGCCTTAAAACCAACATACCTTCAATCTGATTAAGGCTGAGATCCAATTCAGACAAGACCATTGAGCTTTCCTGCAAAAGACCTTGTGGCAGTGATCCAGACAACTGATTGTCGCTAAGCTTGATAACTCGGAGGGAGACGATAAAAGTAAATGAAGGAACATTTCCAACAAAATGATTATTATTTGCATCAAACACCTCCAGACTGTCAAAATATGGCATTCCATCATGAGGGAAGAGCTCCCCAGTCAAGTTATTATGACTGATATTCAAATACTGAATCGAAGAAATAAAATCTGAAGTCCCTATTCCAAGATCCAAGGATCCCGAAAAATCATTGTTGCTGAGGTCAACATACATCACACCACCTAATTGAGCCAAAAGGCCCATGACATCTCCTGAGAAATCATTAGAGTGCAAATCTAGATACTTTAACAGCTCAAGACCCGTGAAATCGGAGGGAATTTCTCCATCCATGTTGTTTGATGAAAGACTTAAGAGCGCCAAGTTCTTCAAACTAGTCAATTGAGAAGGGATTGATCCAGTAAACAAATTTCGAGAAAGATCCAAACTTTCCAATGATTCAATCAAACCGACCTCTTTTGAGATAATGCCACTGAATTGATTGTTAGAAATGGACAAGTTGTGAAGCATTTGGAGTCCGGCAACAGCAGGGAAATGGAATTCCCTGACTAGACCTAAATCATTTAGTGTGATTGAAGTCACGCGGCCATCAATGCAACCGATACCAAACCAATCCTCGGGGCACCCATCAGATGCCAATGACTTGGGATCCCATGAAATGAGAACTTTCCCCGAAGGATCTTTCTGAATTCCCTTTTTTAACTCAACCAATGCCTTTATGTCTAATTTCCCTACTGTTATTTCTACCAGCAACAGTAACACAAAACAAATGGACTGCATTCTTTACAATATCCCAAAACCAGTGAAAGAATGTTGAACTTCTTGGCTCATAAATTGAAGAAAGCGGCTAAGAATTACAAGAAATAACTCCATATAACTTCAATTGAAAAGCTCAGTAGACAATTTGATTCACGAACAACCAAATCCAAATTGTGAAACTGCAACAACAAAATGTAATGTACAAAACAAAATGTTCCACAGAAACAAAATCTCGAACAGGTAATGCGCTTCAAGAAAGTTCCTCCTTAGTGTAGCAACCATTTGAAGCACATAGTAGCTGAACTTAAAAGAATTATAATAATTCCAACAAATCATTTCACAATAAATACACGCTCAACTGAACTTTTTAACTAACTCAAAGCGCAACCAGTAAAAAGAATATCCAACTTTCCAGACAGTAAAACCCTACATTTCCAAAAGGCAGTAAAAAAGGTACTCAGTCAAACTGAACTAATAGTAAATGACAATAATGACTCAAAACAGAACAAACCCACAATTCTTTGCAGAAGCACAAGCACTATAAAAAGCTCTTCTTATTTGTCAAGAAGCAAGAAAAGGCAAAGCAGTAAAAAACTCCTAAAAGGCATTTCCCATTCTTTGCTTAAGAGGTTGACTCTACAATGTAGTACTTTTAATGTAATGTGGGGCGTCAAGAAAATGACAGTAACGTGAATGAATAATGGCTGGGCTCAAAGGGGCTCTCTCGAAGAGCACAAGTACGGATGAGGATGAGGATGAGGATGAGGATGAGGATGATGATTGATGAGGAATTGGCAGGGGAGAAGTGTACACTGACGACTGCATTGTGTGTTTGAGTGGGGGGTGGTGGGGTGGATGGTGGTGTTTCACTTTTCTGTTTTTGACACAAACTAGTCTTTCTCCCGTGCGATGCACAAATTTATATTAAGGCCGTGTT